TCTCCTGTGGTTTTTAATTGGCTTACTGTTTCACTTCCTTCTTCATTTCATCCTGAGTATTCTTCAATAATTCTCTTTTCTGAATTCATTCAGAAGTTTATCCCTATCTTCCTTCATATCTTCTTCCAGTTCTATGTGTGTTCTTTAAATTCACTGAATTCTCTTATCATGTTTATAATTGTTCTTTTGAGTTCCATGTCCTGTGTTATGTCTAGGGAGTTCTCACTTTACTCTTCTAGAGGACTTTTGATACTTGGTGGGCATATATTGTTTTTGTTTTTCATGTTATTAATTTTTCTCTGTGAATTTGAAATGTGGATTTCTTTTGTAGTTTCTGGTTCTTGTGTGAGATCAAGCCTTCCTCTGTTGAGTTTAGGTATGCTTCTTTTTGTAAACTTTATGTACCTTTGTGGTTTACTTGTTAGGCATGGGAAGCTAGTTGGTCTAGGCTTCAGGTTCTTTCTTTTGATTTTATATTGGAGTAGCCAAATTGATTTTGTCTTGTTGCTCAGGAGTTCCCACAGATGCCCAAGTCAGATAAGGATCACCCTTAGGAGGCTTTCTCCTAAGGTCTGGACCCCTCCGGGAAAGATGGTGGCCTCAGGAATTTGAGGACTAGGCTGGCCTGGTATCAGGGCCCAGGAAAGAGCCTGGCCTCCAGGGATGCAAAGGAAAGTGGGGGCAAGAAGAGGCCCATGGGCTCCTGAGGACTATAGGGAGGAATTGGGTCGGTCTGGATGCAAAGGATCAGGAAGCAGTGGGGATTCTGGACTAAGAGGTCAGTCCACAGGTCTGGGGTACCAAGACAAGAAATGTGCCAGTCCCCCTGCTGGGAGGTGAGGTGGGGGTGGGGGGAGCTGGGAGGGTGAATGTGGCTGGGGGAGTCAAGGTGTAGTGGGAACAGCAGCCAAACTTCTTTTATTTATTTTTATTTTATATGTATGAGTGTTTTGCCTGTGCATATGTCAATGCACCCATGTCAAGCAATGCCTGCGGAGGCCAGAAGAGGGCATCAAATCCCCTGAAACTAGAGTTACAGGTGGTTCTTGGCCATTATGTGGGTGCTGGGAACCAAACCGAGTACTCTGCAAGAGCAGTCAGTGTTCTTAAGCACTGAGCCATCTCTCCAGCCCCAGATTCAATCTTTTTGTCTGATAAGGCAATCTTCAGCATGCAGCAAGATCCATCTCATTACTGTGGAAAATAATCTGTGGCAAGTGACAGAATGCAGCAGGGCCTGAACAAAAACGGCTAATCCTTGGAGTCATTTAAACCAAGAGCAGACCCAATTTGTTCTCAGAACTGTTCCTCTGATTTCCTTCAGAACTGTTTCTTCAGCCAAAGGGTGCACTCTATTATTTAAGCAGTACATTCAGCATGATATAGGAAAGAAATCCAGAACTTTGTCTTATCAAGGAAGAATTTTCCTTTTCTGACCCCCTACCAACCCAGAAGAGCATATAAATCCACAAACAGATGTTATCAACCATTATATTTGCAGCAAATACTGTTGGTAATTCCTTACTTTCAAAGTTGCTGTTTGCAGCAATGATATTTTCACAACACATACACACACATTCATTGTTCTGAGCTGGGGCCAAGGAAGGGTCATGAGAGAGAAATAAAGGACATAGTTTAATATTAAAGCTATGTGTTTAGCTCAGCTTATAAAAGTTGATTATAAGAGGCGTCTAAGGCCTAATAAAAGAGTTTACATTGTTTCCCTAAAGGCTCGCTAAATTTAAATAAGCTGATTACACAGTAGGAGAGCAGACTGAACAGAAAGTATTAAATTATCTCAAAACATAAGATTAACTTTGGTTACAAAGTTAGATAAGATAGGAGGCCTTCCCAGAAAATTCATTCCCATACCAATCAATATATAGAGCTGTTCTGAAAATCAAATATACTGATAGGTTCAAATGATCACAGAGCTGGAAACACTCTTTAATCACCAGAATTCCTTGTTTTGCAAGATTCCTCAGTATTCCAAACAGTATTTCTGAAACAGCTTGACCTAATTTAAACTTAGGAAGTGTGTCCTCCAACACTGCTTCGGGATGCAGCCAACACATTCTTCCCAGATGAGGCCAAAGCCAGCCACACTGTGTAGCACCTGCCCAGGCAAGAGGCTCCAAGTGATGATGCCTCTGCCTTGTCTCCAGCAACCACTATCTTCCCTCCAAAAAAATCCATACACTGTTAGAAGTATTGGGCCTTGCCAGAGGAGCCAGGAGTGGGCCCAGCTGCCCTCTGGGTTAGAACTGTGGCAGATATGCTTTCAGGTCAGTTAGACTGGAGCTAGCATCCTGGGTATGAAGTTCATGTTGCCAGAGCAGCCAACAGAGTTGCTGCCTTAATCTGAGTAAAGAGAATAAAAGGCTGTTCACAGAGGACAAGAAAAAAGGGAAAAGGGAAAGAAAGCAAACCTAGTGGCTGAAATGGAATGTGTCTGAATGGTTCCAAGCTGAATTTTCTCAAGGCCAAGACATAGAAATGTTACCACACTCTGATGCTCATGAAACCCCCTGAGACTCCTCTGCCTTTAAGAACACCACACAGGGAGCATACAGCAGAGGGAGGCAGACACAGGACCATCTCTCTTACCTTCCAGAGGTCAGGGGATCCTTCTACCAGTTTGGCTTTAGTGTGACAGTATTTTAGGGCCAACTGCAAACACTCCGTTCCAAATTCCAAGTCATAGTCACTACACTATACAAAGGAAAAAAGAAAACACATGTAGGAAGAATTAAGAAACTACAATACAATTAGCCTTTTAAAAAAGCCTTTTCTTTTACAAACAAATAATTTCAAATGTAAAAGGAAGTGCTTAGAGAATTTGCAAACTGGTTAATCAGCTGATTGTGTTATAGGATAATATTTTCTGTGCTATAAAAGCAAAATAAAACAAGTAAATAGGAAAGTCATAATCATCCCAAGAGATCTGGACTTCCTCAGTGGTCTCAGGTGCCTCATAAATAAACAATAGTTGATTTCTGTTACACATGCTTGAAGATAGGGCTGGGGAATTTCCATGACATAACTCTTTCTTTAACAAACAGGCATCTATAAAATTCAAATCACCTATCATCTATTTGTAACAAGGTCACAGTTCTGATTCATTTTGTATTTACAATATCAATATATCATTATTAAAACATTTATGTTTGTTTCGGAGCACAGAAATGGTTCAATCTTTCATTGTGTAGAAAAATGTAAACTTCCCAAATTCAATAAAATATAAAGAATATTTCTAAGCAGAACCATCACAATCACTAAGCAATACTATAATTCAGCTGCTCCGTGACTCCAAGCTCTGACTCCAGCTATATAAAGGTAAACAGCACCTGTATAATGTCCTCAAGGAACTGGGGTCTAGGAGGAAAGACTGGTTAAATAATTGGTAACAGAATATAATTTGCGACACTAGGAGTGTAATCCTCAAGGAACACGATGGGAAAAATTACCTGATTTTACATGAGGTTACAGGAAAGGCCTATCAGAGGCCATAGTCTCTGGTCTCCAGTTTAAGGATTAAATAAAAGTGGAGGAGGAGGACCACTAAGCAAAATATGTCTGTACAAATGTACAGAGGAGCAAGGCATTCATTCCATGTATATTTTGCATGTATGTATGCGTGCATGTGTATGAACGTGTGGGTGAGGGAGGATGTGCGTAGTATATGTGATCAGAAATTGATTTGGGGGATCTTCCTCATTCACTCTTCACCTCATTTGTCAAGGCAGGTATCTCCTGACCCTGGACCTTCTTGACTAGTTAGTCTTGTTAGTAGCTAACCCCAGGGATCCTTCTGTCTCCACCTCCCAGTGATGGGATTACAGGAGCACAAGTGGGTGCTGGGGATCCAAATTCAAGTCCCAATTCTTGTGTGACAAGTACTTTACTCACTGAGTCTTCTCCCTGAACCCCTCAATCTGCATTTTGAGAAGGAGCATAACTATGTAAGCGATCAGTAGGAAGGAAAAACAACAAATACAATATTTAGCATATTTATCCAAAGGTATTCTATTGTATTGGAGATTACAAGCTCCTAACTATAGTGACTTATGAAATTAATGAAGAAAATAAAACCAAATATGCACAAAGTCCCTATTTTACCTGAAGAGTCACAACTCACACCTATTTCTATGCACTACATATTTCCTAGGAATTTTTAATACAATAGTAACAGTAAGTTGAGATGTATTTTGGTAAACCTCTGATTTATACTCTCAATGTCTGTACAGTATTATCTGGTAGTATGTGAGACGTATATACAGGGAAGAGTGATACCATGGTTAAATCCTGGTAAGAACTAGTAACAACCTTGACTTGTCACACTAGCAAGATAATGAACACTCCCTAGACAGCCTTCAGGTAGCCACAAAATGTATATAGAGAAAAGCCCATAGGAAGAGCTCCTTCCTGCCTGCCTCAGGCGGTGATGTGAAGCATACCAGATGCTGCACTCCCAGCCATGCATGACCGGATAAGTCAATGGAAAACAGACAAATATGATGCAAACCTATATGAAATACATACAGGAAACAGAGCCTGGGCCTTATTAGAGACTAGTCTGGACTCATCATTACATAGACTAATATATAACAATAATGGGGCTTGGGGACATTTTATAATAAAATTTTTCTTTAAAAGTGAATTTAAATCCATGCAATCAATGAAAAATTCTGAATTTCCATTTTTTAGAGAATTAATGAACAAATTCTTTTTTTCTAGAATATGGTAAACTGAAAGCTATGAAACACACATCTGAGCAAAAGAAAGACAAAACAACTACCATAGTGCAACTTTGTTCTTCAGTCCATCAGGGCTGTGCTCACGGGATGACCAAGGGAGCCTTTAACCTGAGAAAAGTCATGCCTCCCTAAGAGAGAAAGATTGCAAGCACTAGCTCACCCAAATCAATACACAAAAGAAAGAGAAGCTGGGAGTCACATAAAATTAAGAATTAAGAAATAATCAAGACCCAGGTGTTAAAGCCTCAGACCCCACCCTGTGTTGCTGTTGGGCAACAGAGAAACTCTTCAGATGCAAGGTCAAGTAGAAGGAAGTTAAGTCACTGGGGTGTGAGCTTGAAGGAAATACTCAAACCACAGTCTCTCAATCTCTTTTCTTATTCCCATGCCCCACTGAGCAGCTCCCTCTGCCATGCCATCCTAGGAAAGATTACATCACCTTCCCACAGTCCCAAAGCAACAGGGCCAAAGACCATGCCAGAAAGCACTGTTAGTGGAAACCTACCCAGTTCACATCTAGCATTCTGCCTATCTGTTCCTGCTGCTGTCTACTTTAGCCATTAGAGCCCTGAGCATATCAATCATAGCTGTTTCAATTCCCAGTCCAGTAATTCCAGCACCTTGCTGTATCCCACCAGTCACACTTGCTCTCTGCCTTTGCTACTTTCTGCCTTTCCACTTATGCTCATGCTCCCTTGATACTAATCATGATTAGTAGGTAAAGGTAAGATAAATGTTTGTTATATGGTAGTTATGGGGCATGTGTGATTAGGCCACAAGTCCCACAGTGAGCCTAGGCCTTTAAACTGTCAACTCACCATCACTTAGTGCCTCCCGTCTGAGAAAGAGGAGTTAGGCTAGAGTTGGGTATTTCCCTTCTACATTGTATTAGTTGGACCTTTTATTGATATTACTGAATACCTGGGAGAACAACTTAAGGGAAGAATTACTTACTTTGCTTAGTTTCAGAGGATGTAAATGGTATGGGTTTTGAAAGTCCGCCTATTTTTCAGATGTCTTGTTCATTGTTTAGGTTGTTTTACTCAATCATGGTATGGAGTGAATGATAGAGCAGCTTACATTACAGCAGGCAAGAAGCTGAGCAGTAACAGGAAAAAGCCAGAGCAATATATAGTCCCATAATATACACCCCGCCCCGGGGACTGCTCCCTCCGGCACAACCCACCTTGCATAGTTCCACCACCTCTCAATAATTCATTCCGATTTGAATCCATCAATAGATTAAACAGTTCATCAGAGTCAGTGGGAGGTGGTATATGCCTTTAATCCCAGCACTCAGTAAGCAGAGCCAGCTGGATCTCTGTGAGATCAAGGTCATCTTGGTCTACATATTAAGTTCCAAGCCAGCAGAGGCTACAGGGAAACTCTGTCTCAAAAAAACAAACAACAACACCACCAAAAATCAACAGGTCAATGGCTGGAGAGAAGACTCAGTGGTTAACAGCACTGGCTGCCCTTGCAGAAGACCTGGGTTTGATTCCAAGCACCCACAAGGTGGCCAACAACCATTCGTATCTCCAGTTCCAGGGGATTCAACACCCTCTTCTGACTTCTGTGGGCATTGCAAAACACAGGTATACTTACATACATAGAGGCATAACATTTTTTAAAAATATATTTATTATTTTTTGTGTATGAGTGTACTGCCCGCATGTATGTGAGTGTCAGGTCAGAGCCCTCACAGACACACCCACAGTTGTACTTTAATCTCCTAGACATTTCTCAATCCAGTCAAGTAACGATCAAGATGAACAATCACAACCATGTTGGTTAAGCTCAGGCTGTCCTGGCTCTACTTTCCAAGATTTTTACTTCAGTAACTTTTGATTCTGTATATTTACCTATTTGTCTCTCCAAATTAGGGGGACAATAGTTTTCCCTGTGAGCTCACATCTCAACAAGAGAGGTACTTTCTCAGTTTTTTACTTGTTATGACAGAATAACAGCATCTAAGCTCCTCAAACAGTCCCACGTAGACTTTTCAGGAGGCTACAGGAGATGATGGTAAACAAAACTGGAAGAGAAAGCTGAGAAAAGGAAAGACCTGGGGTACAGAAAGTATGTAAACTGCACATCAGGAAGTGAAGGGATTCCTAGGATGGGAGTTAACAGGAGCCCAGTGATTAATGTGTGGGAGGCAGAATGGGAAACCAGCTAAGAGGCTAAAACTGAAAAGATTCTCTTTGGAGGGTCTCAATAGAAGTAGGTTGCTTCTATAAATGAAAATCAGGAATCAGAATTAGCAAGGAGGTTTTTTATTTTTGTGTCATTTCCCATGTATACAATGCCCTACAACTAGTTGCCCAAAAAGAATGTAACATTTGGGGCTGGAGAGACAGTTCAGCAATTAAGAGCACTGGCTGCTCTTTTAGAGAACCTGGGTTTGGTTCCCAGCACCCACATGCCTGCTAACAACCATCTATAACTCCGGTTCCTTGGGATTCGATGACCTCTTCTGGTATCCATGCAGGCAAAACACTCATAACAATTAGAAAAAGAAAGGGATATAACATTTATGTTGTATAGTGCACTATGCAGAAAATAATGCTGTATTTCCTAAAAATAAATGCTTACAAGAGGTATGACTTTGTTTCAAACATATATATCTAATACTTTCAGCAAACTGACCTGATATTCTGGTGATAAGCTGCAGAATATACAAAATCCAAATACCCAAACCTCAAATTCACATCTGCATATTATTACTATCTCAAAAATTTTAAATCTGACTAATACTAAGACAAACACAGGATATTAATTTCCTCACATGTTAATCAACTTGTTGTAACTGCTTGGTCTAAAAGTGTGTGTAAACTGGGTACATTAAAACTTATAGCATGTCCCTAAATTAAAACTTATAGCATGTCCCTAAATGGGTTTTATTTAATTAAAAGAAGTATAAGTATGCTGTAATGAATCCAAGGCACTATAGCC